ACCCAAACCATTCTGTGATTCTATGAACCCCGAGGAAAGTCTATGCATAACCAGCTAGAGTCCTGATCCTCTGGTCCAGCCCATAGCCATGGCTTCAAGGATCTCTTTGATCACGGGGAACCTTCCCAAGGCATTTATTTATTGTTGGGGTTGGCTACTGGGGACATTCACTAGCAGAGCCACTGAGCCTCAGGCACACAGAGCAGTCTCCCATTGCCTTGCCCAGCTCTGATTTTCCCTGCACAACTTCCCCCAGTACACAGGACCAAGCACCAGCTGCACAGACACACACATGCACCAAACAGCCCGTAGTCTTTCTGCTCTCAAGTTAAATATTTTCTGCAAGCAGACAAAGAAAGAAAGAAGGAGTGATCTTAAAAAAAAAAAAAAAAAAAAGGAGAAAGGGGAAAAGGGAAAGGGAAGATTTTTTTTCTTACAGTCGGTTGTGATTTCGTAGGGGGAATTGAGGCGCGCGTCTCCGCAGGGTGAAGTGCTCACATACAGATGGAACAGGATGTTCTCCCGCAGCCTGTAGCCTCCCTCTTTTAATCGCACAAAGATTGATCGCTCCCAGTCTTCTCGCCGTTTGCTATGATCACAAAAGAGGTTCCAGGTCATTTGTTACACGCCAAATCAGAAACATTTCTGCTCTCTCTCTCTGTTTTTCTCACTCTGTTTGTTTGTTTTTATTAGCACCTGGCATCATATATTTCGCTTAGTGACAACAGGAGAAAAACAATAAGCTTCTCCAAGTGAAGAAATGTGTGAAGGGGGTCAAAACTGTCAAAATGTTTTTGGCTTGCTTATGTGGATTTTTGAAGGGTAACTCTCCTTCCTTACAAGCACAGATGCATAAACACATTGATTTTAAAGAGGTTCTGGTGCATGAAGAAAGGAAAGGTTCTCTTAGGCTCTCATGTGAACAAATCAGCTCTGCTCATCACAACGCCTAGGCACGTGTTTAAAACCCATTAACATCACTGCAACTGAGATGTGTGTTTATATGCTCCACTGAAAAGGGCCTCTAATGAAGCCCCCAGATTTTATGACCCCTGCCAACCCTCCCTGCTCCCCAGGGGTTGCTTTTCTTCCCCATTCAACCAGAGCCACCTACGAGTGCTCCATCTAAGCCAGCAGCATCCGCTTGGACACTTAGCATTTTTTTTGCAAATCAGAAGCCACCCTGAACAGTAAGGACAAAACTTGTGCGGGCTTTTCGCAACTGAGCTGAAAAAGATACTTATTAAGATGAAGCTTTTATCTTCGCAGTAGCAGCGCACACATCCCATTAGCAACAGCTGCCCGGGAGGCCAAACCCTCCCAGTCCTGCAGTTTGCAGCACTAGCTCGCATTTAGGCTATGCTGCCGTGCGGTTCCTCAGATGATTTACATTTGGGAAGACATGGGTGATTTCTCTGACAGACAGCTGCCTCTAATATGTACATTTGGGTGATGGTTGTGATTCTAATTTCGAAGGTGAAAATGTGATTAGTGAAATTATGATGAGACTCCTTTCCCTTTGATGCCCTGGTCCTTCCCTCAAAAACTCAAGGGTCTTTTTGCAGGAATATCTCTGAACAGAACGGCACCTGCAGGTAATGATTTTCCTAGGAGGCTCTTAATAAGCCAGAATCCTGCCTGTTTAATTCGCTATAGGACAGCCCATTAACCAAGGCGATTTCTGCTGGTTTCTCTGCCTCCTGTTAGTGTAAACAGGGGTGCTTTCTACTCAGCCTCGGAGCAAGGCCTTGGCTTTAATCCAAGCTGCCTCTGCCTGTTTTCTCCCGGTGCAGCCTCTGTGCTATTGAAGCTGTTTGGCTGTCACTCTTCCATGGTTTGGGTGTTTTGTCATTTTTTGATGCCGGGATGCGTTTGCTGTCAGGAGGAATTTACAGGCACATTAGCTCGCCTGTCAGGGACAGGGAGTCACACCAGCTGCCGAGCCGGAGCTGCCACATGCAGCTTCTTCATTTTCTGCTGGCTGCGGTGGAATTTCCCAACTGCACTAATTACATTATCACCCTGATACAAGCCCCTAAAATAATAAAATACCTGTAAGTCCTGCTGCTTGGACTTTAGAGCAATTGCAGTTAGTTTTAAATAATTCACTGCAAAATCAGCTGGGAGAATACAAAGCTGTGCAGTCCTAACGCCTGCTATTATTATGTTAAACCTCACCAGAGTAGGGGGCAGCTTGCAGTACTTAGAAACAGTTGCTATGTGGGGTTGGAGCAGTCATTATTTGGACTGGATTTCAGGAGTTCACAGTAATCAGCACCCATCCTGTTTTTACTGGTTATTGTTTTTCACAGATTAACCTTGCTTTCTTCCCTCTTCCTGAGCACCGAGAGGGGTCTGCGGCCAGTGAGGCTGATGGGCTGGGTGATAGACAGCTGCTCTAAAAATAGATGGCAGGGCTAGAGGGCAAGGCAGCTTGACTCTTCCCGCAGGAGGCTGAGATCCTTTGTATCACATATGGTCCTGACCTGGCTTTGGGATGGTTTTCTGGCGGCTGAACTCAAACATAAGATTCATCCCTGCACAATGGCTGAGTAGGTTTAATAACAAAACTCTAAAAGTATTGTTATAAAAGAGTTTGAGATGCAATACCATCTGCCGTGGCTTAGCAGAGTCTTGTGCATGGGGTGCTTGGGGGATTTCAAAGCCTAGGGGGACCTTGTAAAAATGTTCTGGGTGGAGCATGAGATGCACTTCTGCAAAGTCACTTCTCCCCGCCAGTACCTATACACTTCTGCCTTCCCCCAGGGATAGTCATTTTGAGCTGTGAAGGAGAGGAATGAGTTTGCAGTAGTAGTCCTTTGCAATGCCACTTTGCACAGCTATACACTCCTGCACAAAGCAACGAAGAGAGAAGTCCACAGTGAGCCCACAAATGTCATTCATTCAGGGGGTGGCATTAAAGTGTCATTTCCACATGCTGGCAGTGGCTAAAAGAGCAGAATTTGTCCCTAAACCTTTGCCTGTTATGAATTTCTGTGGGAGAGTTAGGATTTGAGGCTGATTCAAGAGGAACATTTAAGAATGTGCTAAATTCTTATCTTGTGTTAAGTTCATTATTTAGCATAACACATGCGTATGTTTTGAGCTGACTTCAAGATTTAAGCACATACTTATGGTTTAATATATGTGAAGCGTTTTGCTGAAACAAGGCCTTAGTCTCTAATAGAGGAGCAGGTGAGCCGTTTTTAGCATGTAAACGTACGTATGGGAAGTTTCTAGTACTACGTGCTACAGCGTGGCATCCTAGAGAAGCTAACAGCAGCTTAAAAGGGAAGGAGCTGTGTCCATGAAGAGGCTAGTAGGACAACAGTAAGAAATAGTAGATGCATAACAAATAGCAGGTTTTCCTGGGAAAAAAAACTTAACTGGGCTGGATAAAGACTATTCCTTGCTTTTTATGTATAAAATAAACAGTGGTTTGCATCTGACTCGCTGGAAGCACTTAGCTTCTGGTAAAATCATCCCTCTGGCACCTGCAGGGCTACTACAGCAGTAAGATTGCTATGGTGCTGATTTCTTTTAAGAACAGGCTACTAGTTTTATTTTTCTTTAAAAAAGAAAGGTTGGATTTTATTTTCTTCCCTAGTGGCCAGGTGGTATAAATAATCCCACTGAAATCAATGTGAATTTTACTGCCATATTGCAAGAGCATCTGACTATGGTATTTGTGTACTTTTTGATGGTGATTTTTAGAAAAAGCTTCTCAAAAGGTCTTTCTTGTCCTTCTTTTGTACATCAGAAAATTTACATCTTACTTTTCATCTTTTTCATGAAAGTCTTCAGAAGAGGAGCATTATGATTCTCATAAAAATGAAATCTGACTGGGCTAAAGGTTCTAATCAGACTGGTTAGAAGCTGTCACGTTTTAGTTGTGCTTTTAGCTTGTATTTAACTCAAGCTCTAGACAATGAATTGTTGATAGAAAGTTTCCTTTTGAAATATTTGGCACTCTTGCTTCTTAAAGGGTCTGGAACTCTCTTTCCTAAGAAAAGTCAGGAAAGTCACACCTCTAACATTTAGCAATATGAAGAGAAGGAAAAAAAAAGTAATTTATGTATTTCTGCAACTTCGGCTTGTGGATGGGATTGTTCTACAGTTTAAATAACTGAAGCAGTCACCCTATGGTCTCTTTATGGAAATGGAAAAAAAAATTTGCCCCAGAACATGGCAATTCATCTCACCCACAATAGCTACTTGAATAGGTCTGCTGAGTCCCACTCCAGATATGCCCATCTCTCTCCACTGGTGATAAAAGGAGACTTGGCGATTTTCAAGGACAGCATCATATAGAAAAAAAATTATTGCACTAGAAGTTCCGGAAGTTTGAAATCTTCTGTGGAGATCACTTTGAGCAGGTAGATTTGGTGGCAGGAAGATATGTGGAAAATAGGGAATAGTCTCGACAGAACAAACTTGCCTGTTCCATTGGGAGGGATGGGAAGTTTAAGCTCTTTGAGGCAAGAGCTATGCTTTCATTCTTTTTTTGGGTAAGAGAACCATCTTTTTGGTCTCAGTTCATATATGACTTTGTACAACAGGTTCCTGACCTGGGAGAGGGCTTTAATTTGGGCTAGGTTAGTGCAAATGCATAACAATGCAGAGGCCACATTTGAGTTTCCCTCAAGCCTTGAGGAGCTGGTGTGCAGGCAGTCCCAGGAGACCTGAGTTAGCATATCTGTCCCAAAAAGCCTGTCCTTTTAGCTATGCGGTAGCACCATGTGATTTCTCTGCCAGTGGCAGCTGTGTCTCTTTTTCTAGAGAGCAAGGGGTAAATGTGACTTCACTGCGCAGAAAATGCATTTTTTTCATTTCATTCTGAATGCTATTTTCTTGCCATATGACAAAGCTCCTGATGACGGCATAAAACAGCGTAGCAACAAATACTAGAATTGAAGAATATATTATAACATACAGGTTTGCTTCCCCAAAGAGGCGAAATCTGATTTGACAATATGTCTAGCTCTGTCTTTAAAAAGTGCTTAGCCTTGACAGTTTTGGTTGAGATTTTTATCACGTGTGCTGGTCAGGGAAGCAGTGGTGCCTGCTTTTGGCTGAACAGAGAGTGGTTTGAAGTTACTGTGAACAGAGCTTGTGCTGCACTGAGGATTGTCTTAGAAAAAGACTGTTAACATTGATCCAAATAAAATAATAATATGACTGAGCGTGTTGGGGAGGTGGATCAATACAATAGTTTAAGATACAGTGGTAGCACTTGTTTCCCATGAGACTGTAGCACAAAGAAAGTACTAGGGCTGCTACACTGCTGAAAACATAATAATTTAATGTAAACTTGAAAGCAATGCAGATTGAAGTAGAGAGACTATTGTTTGTCATTCAGCCCTTCAAGGCTCTTGTCCCTCTTTGTTAGCCAAACTCATCTGCTCACGTCCTCAGCTCCAGCCTGAAGTGAAAGGAACTGGTACTCCTCTTACTGTTGCTTCAGTGCAACAGTATCATAGGTGCCCACAAGAACACACAGTTCTGCTCAGATTAATCTTAGTGTCTGTGACCCCATGCAAAACCTGCTGAAGTCAAACGGAGTTTTTGCACTGAGGTTAATGGCCTTTGGATAAAGTCACATGAAAATGCAAGCAAGAAGAATAATGACCTATAGATAACATTTTGTTTGTTTGTTTCTTTCCTTGCTTCCTTTATTCCTTGGTTCCTCCATATAATAAATACCACCTCAGCTTCACTTCTGCTCAGTTTTCATAGGATCATAGGATAATTCAGGCTGGAAAGGACCTCAGGTCCCTAGCTCAACCTCCTGCTCAAAGCAGTTTGTGAGGTTGCTCAGGGCTTTATCTGCTGAGGTTTGAAAACCTCCAAGACAGGAGGGCGACTGCACAACCTGGTTGGATGACCTGTTCCACTGCTTGCCTATTCCCATGGGGATGCTTTGTCCTAATATTCAGACTGAGCTTCTCTTATTTCAGTGTGTGCCTGTTGTCTGTCATCTTCCCACTGTGCACCTTGGTAAAGATGCCAGCTCCATTGTATTGTTGACGTCTGTTCTGCTGGGTCTGCCATCCCATCTCCAGGCTGACCAGGCCGAGTTCCCTCAGCGCCCCCCCACAGGCCAAGTGCTGTAGTCCATGAACATTTGCGTGGCCTCTGCTGAGCCTGCTTCGGATGGTTGATGTCTTTCCTGTATTAGGGGACCCAAAACCACACATGGTATTGTAGATGTGGTCTAATGAGGGCTGAGTAGTAGGGGATGATCACATCCCTTGACTGACTCTTCATACAGCCTGGGATCCTGTTGACCCCGTTTGCTGCCAGGCATACTACTGTCTCATGTACAGCTTGCTGTCTGCATATGAACCCTGTCCCTTTTCAGCAGAGCTGCTCCCCAGCTAGTGAGGCTCCAGCCTTGTTGTTGCAGGTTGTTCTTTCCTCCTCAGCGTGGGACTTTCCATTTGTCCTTGTTGAGTTTTCTGTCAAAATTCCTGCGGACCCACTCCTCCAGCCTGCCTGCATGACAGCCCAGCCCTCAAGCATATCGACTGGTCCTCTCCACAACTTGGTGCCCTCTGCAAAGCTTATAAGCAAGCACTACATAGCCTTGTCCAGATTGTTAATAAACATGAGTAGCAAGGTCCTAAGACAGACCTCTGTGGTATTACCACATATTACCAGCTTCCAGGCAGTGTATGACCCATTAACCATTTAAACGGTAACAAGGTGGGTTTGGCTGAAGACAGGAACAGTAATTCCTCTGTAATGATTCTACATGCTATAACATTTTAAAACATCATAAAGAAGGAGTGAGTGATAGCATCTTGCACTTTGGCACAAAGTTTACTGTACTGTTAACACTCATTGGTTCTCTAGTGAGTCAATGAAGACATTAATGATCAATAAATCATTTCCTTGAGATATTTCAGCAGCAGCAAGAAAGACAGGAAAATGGCTGCAGTGAGCAAAATGACCCCCTTCCAGTCTCTGGCCAGTGAATGATGCTAATAAGCCTGCACGTAAAGATTTGTACAAAATCATCAGGCTTCATAAAACCCAACTTTATGAGTCATATCTAATAGCTACTGAAAGAAAATCAGCTGAAGTAAAGGAGCTCATGACCCAACACTCTAGATTATCTAACTCTCTTATTTTTTTCTATGCAGTGTATTGGTCCTTAATCAGCTAGAGAGCTGGAAACAGCAACATAAACAAATAGTTCAAATGTCTGGAGGATGGATCTTTTCCACTGAAGGCTGTATAACATTCCCCAAGCACCAACAGAATTCAGTTACCTTAAGTGTAACTCCAGCTGTGAGTAGAGGAAGTGAACAAATGCCCTTCTTGCCACAATTTCTGCATGGCAGTCGTTGACCGCAAGCCCTTGGTCATTAATGTATTCCCCATTTATACATTTGGTACCCGATGACAGCACAATAACCTGAGCTTGCCTGATGTCCAAACCTGTAGGAAGAAAAACAAAAGGGTTGTGAAATTGCTGGGGGCGAGTATGATATCATGATTGTTAAAGTTCTCACAGCCCACACGTTGATGTGGCAGCCCAGACAGCCCTAATGGGATGCTTGTAAAGGTGATGATATGGCCTTTGGAATATGCAGGAATCTCACATCTCTGTGTTATTAGAATAATAAGCTGAATTTCAGTCTGGCTGCTAATTCCAAGATAAAAGCTTGCCACGAAGTTTACTTGTTAAATCAATAACTACATCATAGGAGAGCATATGCTGCAGGGAGGTAATAAAGATCTCCTGCAGTGCTGATAAATGGCCAGGTTTTTATGAGCTGTTGAAGACATTCTCTGGTGGGAACACACACTCCCTGTAATGTTAGGTTTCATTGCTGTTGCACTATAAGTACTAAATAAAATGCAAGTAACACTTCTGGAGCTGCTCTTTAAAAAAACAGATCTGACTTTCACTCCAGTTTCCTTTTTGTTTCTCCAAGAGCAGCTACATCGGTGCCTTTTCCACTGTGGTCTCAGGGACAAAGCATTCATCATTGAGACCAGCTTTGTTCCTCCATTGTCTCTCCAGATAATGGTGATGGCAATTGAAAGACATGACTGTCGTGGTCCAGATAGACATTTTCTAGGATGAAATCCTTATTTCTTTGGAGTCGGTGGCAAAATGCTTACAGACTTTAACAGGACCTGGGTTTCACTCTAAAATGTAGCTCATTCAGCCCTGTGGACGATTTCAAAGAGTTAAGAATTAACTAAGCCCAAACTGAAATAACTTATTGAACAGAACATTTCTGGATGCATCTCTCTGAATACCAAAGAACAAAGGAGCAGCTCTTGGGAAAAATGACTTTTCTGGCTGATGGGTGCTTCCTCTAGATGTGACAAAGTAGCCTAAGAGTGTTGGACTGTGTTTGACAGCTGTGCACAATGACTGTGTGTATGCAAACACATGTACAGTATAGCAAGTCAGACTGCTGGGGCTGCCATGGTTGTGCCCATGTGGTGTCACCTGAGATGCCCTTTGTGTCCTGCCTAACCTCTGGCTGCTGCTCCAGGGAAGTGGGGGTGTCCAGGAGGTTCTGTGCCCTCCCCACACATCTCACATGGAAATCCATAAAGTGACTCAGTGGAAACAGGTGTTTAAGCAACTGAATCAAACCTTCAAAGTCCAACAAGTCAGTGACTAAGACAGGCCTGAGGCTCCAAGTACCCGTAGGGGGAATGGAAGCAATCTCACCATGGGCCATGGTGATGCTGTTTTTACGATGTTTAGCTGTAGAGAAAACAGCTATATGGAGAAGGAAACTATATTTTAAACATAAAGAGAGGGTGCTGCCAATGATGGCCCATTGTTAGTAAATAGGACCAATAATACTTCATAATCTCCACACAGCACTGGGACTAGTGGTGGATGACAAGCTATAGCACTGTTGCCATGCTTAATATATATAATAGCAAATGATACCAAAATTATCTCATGCATATACCAATATGATAGCTACATCAGTAGTCAAAAAGGTTTAGTAGTACTGTGGCATTGCAGCATTGTGACAGTTGTAGGAGAGGTATAAGTATTGTGAACAATTCAGTTAATCACACCTGACCCCCTGGTTGTGACAGTCTCATACAGAAGTTGTTACAGGTACTAGTGACAAAGCACACATCACTGTATGCCTGTGTGGGAAGTTTAATGTCTACTTGTTACTATAAATGTGGCCCTAAAAAAGTGCTTGGGAGTATTTATTAAAAAAAAAAAGCAAAAAAAAAAAAAAGCTGGCAATCTAGAAAAGCCAAGAAGTAAAGATGGGAGTGCATGGGAGAGTGCAGTGGAGAAATGCAATTACAAAGCGTTTGTGTTTATTCCATTTTTATTACTAGATAAAAAGTTGAGCTGGACAGGCTCTTTCCTTACAAAGAAAGGTGTCCAGAGGAGGCCACAATGATGACCAGAGGGCTGGAGCACCTCTCCTATGAAGACAGGCTGAGAGAGTTGAGGTTTGTATTGGGTCTGGCTGAGATGGAGTTAATTCTCCCCATCGACAGCCCCAGTAGCACGCCGTGATCGTATAGTGGTTAGTACTCTGCGTTGTGGCCGCAGCAACCTCGGTTCGAATCCGAGTCACGGCAGTACCACAGCACACGGGCTCTGATACCCCCTATCTCTCAGTTTCTTATTGCTGAGCAGACGTCATACGTATGGAATATCCCTTTGGTCAGTTTGGGTCAGCTGTCCTGGCTGTGTCCCCTCCCAAGATCTTGCCCACCCCCAGCCTACTGCTGAGGGGGGGGAAGAAATGTTGGACTGACAGCCTTGATGTGTGCTGGCACTGCTCAGCAAAAGCCGAAATACTGGTGTGTTATCAACACCTTGCTAGCTACCAATGCACGGCACAGCACTATGAGTGCTGCTATGGGGAGAATTAACTACGTCTCAGCCAGATCGAA